TTTTTTTTTTCAGGTCGTTTACAAAAAAAAAAAAAAGAAAACCATAACATTTATTACCGATTTTTTCAAGGCTTTTTTTTTTTTTTTTTACAGCATTTATTTCTTTCTTTAAATAAGTTAAATTTTCTATAGTCAATACAGAAATATTTACGGAACGGCTTTTAAAAAAATTGATATATTTTGTAGCAGTTATTGTACACTGTATGTTTATACATATATTTTTGTTTTTATTTACACCTATCGTATTCTCTGTGTGTGTGTGATAACAGTTCAGAGCAAAAAAAAAAAAAATTTTAGCAAATTGAAAGAGTTTACAAAATTTATTGCTTATCAAACTGAAAGTATTGGTTGAGTATTGCAATATAAAATGGTGACATATTCATTCATTTGTACAGCAGTCATCTATCAGCTTTGCAAGAAAATCTGTGTCATAAAAAATAAATGGTTAAATTCAGTGTGAACTTTTTTTTTGGACGGTAGCAAAAGTTTGTGGAAAAATTGCTTTCAACATTTTGTTTACACTATACATTAGCATTCCATTTTTAGTGTTTGAAAAGTGCTGATGATTTTTGAACATTGCTGAGAAGGATACTGTTAAAGGATTTTTTTTTTTTTTTTCTGTTGATAGTCTTGAAATACGGTGCTTTTTTTTTAGACCTTCAAGTTTGATAGGGTAAAGACAGGTTTGCTGAAACCATCATTGATTCTTTTGCTGTCGACAAAGTTGTGAAGAGTCAGATAGATTTGAAAAAAAAAAAAACTGCCAACTAACTGATTGCAATATTACAACCCTTTAACTTTTGTAGTGCCACAGCAAACCTATGCATTTTTTCGGTGAATTGAAAGGCAGATAGAGAAGGGGGAAAATAAAAAACAATGTTTCTTCGCGTACTGTTGCAAAAGTTGAAAAATTTTGACAGTTTTTAGAAGGTGTCAAAGAAAAAGTTACACAATTTGATTAGACATTTTTAAGCTCAATTTTTTTTTAGCTATTTTATATAGAAAGTACTTTTATTGACGATATGGTACTGAGTATTGTTTTACCAATCTTTTTAATACACATTGTACTGCTAATTTTAGTTGCTGTTTTGTAATGCTGCTGTGCTTTGGTGACAGTGGATAACGGATGCCAAAAAAAATATGAGAAAAGATAAAAAAAAGAATTTTTTTTTAATAAAAAAGTACCAAATAAATTAGAAATTTTTTTGATGCACTAAAAGTTTAGCTATCTTTTTAACTGTATTTTAGTGCTATGTGTGTGTGTGTTTTTTTTTTTGTTGTTGTATATGTATTTGTCTGATTTTGCTCTTTGAATATTCTGATCTAAAAAAATACTTCCAAATATAATTTAATATTAAATTTAATACCAATTAAGTTGGTAAAATAAAAAAAAAATTTTTTTTTTTTGATCGTTAAAAATAATAGTTTTTTGTACAGAAATACTGTTTTGTTGTTGTTGCTGTTTGTTGTTTGATTAGTACAGAAAAAGTAACAGCTTATTCAATGAATTTAATCAACCAAATATTAGCTAAATTGATTTTACTCTATCAGCTAAGTTTTACTGTTGCTGCTGCTGCTGCTGCTGTTTTGCTGTATCAGAAAACAGTGGTACAGTTAACATTGGTGCAAAAATTTGATTGATGATGGA